AATAAGTTCCTTGCGGGCTTACTAGAGAGCTCATGGTATTGCCTCAATTAATACGTCTAGTTAATACCTTCCAGACAGGTTCGACAGCGGTTGATTTCGTTATCGGCTGATTTAAATTAAGCATCCGCTTCAAGGATTCTGAAATTAAACGTACAGGTATAATTTGGGATTTGTTTTTCATGGATAATAACTTGACAGTAACGAGGAAGGAATGTCTTTCTGTTGCAAAGACAGAAAGAGAGTCGTTTATAGAAGATTTTTCAATGGAAAAAATGACTATTTTCAAGTTTAAACATAAACACTGGGATCCTAAATATTGTAGCTGGTTATCTATATATTCAACTTGTAGATCTGTTCACGACAACAATAACCAAATGCCCTAGTAATACCTATCTGTCTCGCTCGTATGCCGGCCGCCATTTTGGATTTTCTGAGTGAAACGCATGCGCAGCATGGATGCCTACGTGTCCCCTCTACCCAGTCTATTCAAAGCAGGGCTTCAAGAATTCCTTTTCGAAGTGATCGCACGCAGCGAAACACATATTCATTTAACAAATAGAAAAAAAACTTACGAGCATTTCGTTCCAAGTCTGTCTTGGTCATGCTGCTAGCCATTTCTGGCGCGCTTTGGAAGGATTGACCCTGTCACATGACCGTGTCTGTGGCAAAGAGTGCTTCTTGATAAAGAGTAATCAAATAAGTAGTGTTAAGTGACTAGTATTTAATTTCTCCTTACAATGTTACCTTTGAATCTAACTTTAAGGTCACGAGAATAAAGGAAATGATCACAAACTAAAGAAGCTCTTGATTGTTAATCAAACTCTCCTGGTCATCACCTCGGGAAATGTATAGAGAACAGTATGGAGAATATGCTTACTGATGTTAGGTTGTTTGGGGTTCAACAATAGGGACAGTTATGCAGACCTTCGACAGCGTTTCGGGTTATATAACGCACAAAAATTCTCTTTAAGTCCTCGAGTGTAAGAGAGGGGTATTATGAACAAGGAATGAGTCCAGTATTTTTAAGTGCTAGGATAGAGCCTCTATTATTTTATGAAAGAAAACTGAAATCCTTGGCTGAACTTAAATTGCGAAAAACGACTTTTGCTGCCGTCATAATTAACGGTCTATAAAAGGTATTAAACCAAGCTAAAACTAAAATGTGTGATGATTCGCAGAATATCCAAGTTTTGGTTTCTTGATTCGGATTTGTAAGATGTCCTCTTGTTAATTCCTGCAAGGGTAGAAATCAACCGACAACGAAAAAGTATATTTACAATGATTAGATTTAAAGTCATTGCTGTGCCTCCGAATATCTTTTTTTCTTTGGAAATTATGCGGAAGTCATGAAAGAAGACAGAATTTAGAATCAACAGGATGGTGCCTGAAAAGTACGAAGAAATTAATACTTTATGGCAGATTCCTTTTGAAAACTCCTTCTCTTAAGTTTAGGATTCATACACCGACTTTTTTTTTTTTTTTTCAAGTAAATTGAGGCACCAGAATATTTCAGCGACAATAGCATCAAAACATGAAGAGGCTTAAGACGAGAAAATAGCAGTAAGGACTTTTTTTCCTTCTAGTTGTTTCGTTCTGAATTATTTTTCGAAAGCGAGTAAAGGCAAATCCATCCAAAGTTCAGATGTTGATTGAACTTCACTCCGCAAAACTTGATTTAATTAAATTGCTCGGAAAACAGGAGAAGGATCACCCTCGGTGCACGCATGCGCAAGAAACCGCGCAAAGCAAGCAACCAAGCCGTCACAAGGGATGTGTAAGTTTTAAACGTGAAAATGGCCGCTGGAAGAAGCGCTGCAGGCCAGGAAATCAAACAACACTTTGCCACAAAGGAAGGCTGCTATAGACTGCTGGATTTGTCTGTTTATTCGCGACCCACGAAGATCCCTTACTCAGCTCAACAATGTCACCCAGTGCGAGTGTCATTCGTTACGGTGAAGGACCAAGGTGGTTGTAATGAGCGAATCGCGTTCAATGTTGGAAGAGAATTGTACTTTTACATCTACAAAGGAGTGAGAAAGGTGAGAGGAATGCTTGAGAATTGTGAAGAATGCACATCAAATTAAGATACTGTTTGAAGTCTTAAGTGAACGCATTTCAATGCGGTATAATTTCCGTTTTCTTGCACGCACTGGCAGGTTTCGTTTTGTTGTTGTTTCAATGTTGTTGCGGTGATCTTAGCTAATGCGCCTGAAAATTTTTAGAGAAATATCCCCCGTTATTCACGCGGCTGAAATCCCTCTTTACGTTACGGTCCCTTCACAAGGCTTGTTGTTGAGTATTGTCTCGGCAATGAATTTGGTCGCTGCGTCTTGTTCTTGGAACACTAGTAAATGTGATAATGTGATTGCTTAGCTTAAATGTTAAGAAAAGAAAAATACTTTAGCTTATGTGGATATCCCTTCTATGGTCTCTGCCTTTCATTGCAAGATTTAAGTATTACTTAGAGGTCCATGTCTAAAATTACTCTAGAAAAATTCTGATTCCTCCTTATTGAACATTCATCATAGATGACTCGAGCTCGAGTATATTCGGTATATTGATGTGATCAAATCTTCGAGAAGAATATTCTCATACATCAATATATTCTAATTTCTGGGAAAATCTTCCGCGAAAGCTTGTTAAGCTTCGATTGTTTTTATTTTCTTTGTAAATTTCAGTTTTGATTAAAATTATGAAATACATTTACCAAACACCGTTAGCGTGTGTTTAAATTTTAGGAAAAATACGTTGTCTAAATATGAATACCCCCGGGTATAATTTATTTGGCGTCTGATTCATTTGAACAGTAAAGATAAGGTGTATATCATTAAATAATTGCGGTGCCTGACAATAAAAATTTTTATCCATAACACCAGTCACAAACAGACGTTTGATTTAATGGGTTTAATTTAGGTTTGTTTTGAAGAGGTGAAAACTTTCCTTTACGCCTTTTAATACCACTTTCCAATTTTTCTTTAATGTATCTATGGGCAAAGCCCACCGTCTTCTCAAATTTTGACAATCGCTTTGAGGATTTATTGTCCAAGTGTCATGCCTTTCAAAGTCTTGATATCAATGGATTTATTTTTAGCTTGGGTCAATCAAATACCTGGCAGATGTTTGTCTTCTTAAAATTTAAATATAGTCTAAACATGCTCTTAAGCTATCATGCAAGACACATTTAGCTGTGGTTGGTCCGGTGAATCATGTGTAATTTTTTTATTTTTGAACAACCATGTACTCACTTATTTAACATCCAGAGGGTTGCTTTGATAAATAGGAGGGTGATTCGTGACAAAATTCAAATGCGTACTGTCTCATTATTGAAATGAAATTTCTTGGTAATTTAAGCCAAAAACACTTCTGTGTTGCTTAAAAGAAATTTGAAACCTTATATGAAAACAAGATTGTTGTATCCAAGTACACTAATGCACTGCTGCAAAACAATTTCAGGACAAGTTGTTTTGTAAGGTGACTGATTTAGTTATCTGTTGTTGACTCATCTACAAACAGCATAACGTTTGCTCTAAAGAAAGAGGTTTGCTTTCAACCTTTTGTATGCTGTTGCATGGAAACATGTAACCATTAAAGTGGTTTTTAAGTGAAGCAGAGTTAGCTTTGAAAGTTGCTGAAAATGATGCAGACATAGAGATGCGTCAAGGATCTTGATTAGCAGTCAATGTGTTACCAATGACATTTTTTTCAAACTCTTAAACAATGATTCATTATCTCACTCATAAATGATCATATCAAGCTCTTCTCAGTATTTTTCTCATATTGTCAAACCTGTATTTAGCAATACCACATTAAGCAGTCACCCTGTCTTCTTTATTAACCCTTTCACTCCCAGATCACATTAGAAATTCTCCTAACTGTCTGACATACAAATCTTATAATGTTAGTTCAGAGAATTTAGTATGGGATCAACTAAGTATCTCCAAATCAATATTTTCCTTTTTTCTCATCACTTGTTTGGTTGATACTGTATTGATATTGTAAGGAGAAATTCTGTCTTGGTCATTAATGGGAGTTAAGGGGTTAAGCAGTCACTTGTCAAAGTCCTGATATTTTCCCCCAAAGTACTGTACCATTAATTTTCACTTCTATTGAGCAGTTGTTGTCATCCCTGACTGAGTTCTAACAGTTTGTTTGTATTGTCTTCTGTCAGTATTGAGTGGTCACTTAAATAGGGAACACTCAAATAAAGTTAACCCTTTAACTCCCAAGATCTCATTAGTAATTCTCCTTACTGTCTCCCATACAACTCACATAATGTTAGTTTGGAGAATTTGGAATTGGATCAACAAATAATCCACTAACTGATGTTTTCTTTATTCTCATTCCTTGTCTGCTTGATATCATACTGATAGTGTGAGGAGAAATTTTTTCTAGGTCACTAGTGGGACTTGAAGGGTTAAGAATAATCTCTCAAGTAAATTTGATCCCATGTTTATCTGCTGGGAGCAAAGTGACTCAGAATTAGGAATGGAAGTGTGACATGAAAACTGCTAATGGCAAACTTAAAAATTTATGCCAATTTTTTCAGGCATTTCTACTCCTCATGGCAAGCAAAACAGTTGCAGCTTCAAGCACTGCATGATGATAGTCTGTTAGTTTAACTGGGAATAAACTTGCATTAACCAACCTCTTACAATGTGATTTGGGATGGAAATATTTTATTTTTTAACCCTTTAACTTCCAAGATCTGATTGTTATTTCTCCCCTGTAGCTGCTACACATTTCCTTGTAAATTAGTTATGAGAACTTGGTGCTAGATCAAGATAGAAGCTTCTACCTGATAAGCTTGAATATTCCTGTTACCTGTTTGCTGAAGAATGTATGGATATTGTAGGGAGAAGTTTTATGTTAATCACTTCTGGGAGTTAAAGGGTTAATCTGGCTTTTTTTCTCCCTTCCTCTCTCCCTGTAGGCTGCAGATCTTACAAAGCCTCTGGATAAACGACTCTACAAAGGAACAATCCCAACTTGTCATGATTTCAATTTGTTGACGCGGTCAGCTGAAAGCTTAGAGTTGTTGATTGGGTTTTCTGCTGGACAAGTACAGCTCCTTGATCCAGTTAAACATGAAGTCAATAAACTTTTTAATGAAGAGGTTAGTATTATTGGCAATCATATCTTTAAGGTAAAATGCTAAGGATCAACAGAATCATCTGAAAACTGGCTACTCTCAATTTCAACAAGTTAGGTACATAATGCAGAGTATTGTTTCACCTAAAGTTCAGACTCAAATCCATTTTTGGGGGTTACTCCCCTCCCCTCAACCTCTTCTGCGGTATTTTGTAAAGTTCAGGTGACAGGTTTACTGGTTTTTATTTATATCCCTGGTGTGGCAGATACAGTGGTCTAGTATTAAGCACACTGGACCCCAGGTCAAAGGTACAGGCTTAAGATTGGGCCAG